CTGTACAGAAGCCACCAACCCAGTTCGGCACGCATCTATTTTCACTCTGCCTCGCTCTTTAACCCTGCAATAAATATTACTCTTTTATGTAACTCCTCCCTTCCTTAGTCCTGTACTTGGGTCTGCTAGCCTTGCCATAACCAAGTTAAAAACGGTTTGAATCACTTAGTTAGCCTAGCTATGAGAATAAATAAATGGAGTGCTCTCTCTTTTTCTCTCTATCTCACGTTTTCACATACAGACAGACTTACGCACCCATGCCCACCGTTATCTCTCCCCCATCCGATCCTCTCTCACTTGGCAGAAATTCTTGCGCATTAATCCATCTGCTGTTCTGCTTCTATCTATGAAATACATAGCTGTAGCTCCTGAAATGACAGCCTGCTTATCAACACACATTTAAACAATTGGCATAACGGGACCTCTTGAGTGCAGCTGCTACTATCGAAAGCTTTGAAGCTCAGAAAATGACATTCGGGCCAAACCTAGTCTTCAGATTTCAAAAGCTCTGTCCCCTTTAGTTTTCAGTCAAGACTCTGGAACAGACAAAAGACCTCTGCCCGAGGATCTCAAGGTACGTGCTGGTGCGGATGGGACAAAACAGATATGAGAGGCCACGAAGAGCTTAAAAGTAATTAATAAAATTTTAAAGTCTATTCTAGGGCTGACCCCCATTAGTCGAAGATTCGATGCTTCGATGGGCGGAGCCTGATTCGACTGTCAATCTCACAGTTGAAGCTTCGCAGCGAAACAAGGATCATGTCATTTTGGCGATATGGGGGTGCTCAACGTCTGATTTTACATAGAACTACCAGTTTTCTCCCAATAACTTAAAATACAGCCTATTATAATATACATTTCAACGTTTATTGCTGTAAATAAACTTGTAAGAAGTGTTTTTAAAGTGCGTAAATACATCCAAAATTGTAACCCTAATCCTGGGTCGTCAGTGCGCATGTGTAGTGTGTGTGTGGTGGCGGAAGAGGAACGCTTGCTGTAGAGATGGAGCCAGGCTACGCAGACGGACTGTTGCTTCCTGTGTGAAAAGACCTTTAAGATGCAAAGAACATTGTCCGCTGTCATTTTTGTGCGACCAGTAAAAAGCTTTCAACCGCGAACAATTCTAGATTGAATTTATTGAAGCATCTGCTGAAGCAGCACAGCAACTGAAACTTATGGAAATAAACTCCGGGCACTACTGCCAGTGATGCTTGGACTCATGGGGAGAGAGTGTGTTAGGTGTGACAGTGTTAGGCTAAGCAACGTTTTATAAAATCACTGAATAGGCTATTGCTCTTATAGCCTAAATAGGCTACATGTGCAGAAAAACAGTAGCCTAGTTCAAAAGTAGGGATCAAGCCTACTTGCTATTTTTAAATCTCAGCCAGTGGCGTTGAGAAATGTTAGGCCTATATGTTTTGTAAAAACCATACTCCTTGCTGCTGTTATGGATATGAAATTATTAAAAAAGAGAGACTGCTTTGTATGGGTGGTGGGGGGGAGGTCGTCTGTATGTTAAAGGTTTTGGCACGTTATAAATTAATTTCTTGTGAATGGCTGTGACGGGGTTTATATGTAAAGGATTTTTCAGACGGCTTGGATCTGCGGGGTCGCTCTAAACAGACAGGCACACAAGTGCTCCTGGAATCAACGCAAGGTGCTCTATGGGTGGTAACCATGGTGCTCTCGTCTCACGCACACACCCGCCCACTATCAGAGGTGAGGTTTTTCCTACAGTTTATCAATAGACAGAGACTGATCTGGCTGTTTGATCTGAGTTTCCTGAATAAAAATTCAAAATTCAAATTAGCTAAAAATATTGCTAAAGCATCATACAAACTACATAAGAACATTAAACAAGTAATTAAAGTGTAAAGTAATTAAAGCGTGTGTGTGTGTGTGCGTGTGTTAAAAAAATTATATATTAAAAATTTAAATAAAATAAATAGATAATAGCATAAACGTGTGTATGTATATTAATTGACAAAAAAAAAATTTAATTAATTGACAAAAAAATAAATAAATACTGTTTCTTTAACCGTTAGGCCACCAGGTCTTAAACAGACAACAACCTTTCCTGCTGTCTCTTATTCATTAAAAATAATCTATTAATGTCAACTGAACTAATTTGACAGTTAGACTCAATTATTTCATGTTGCAAATTTAGCTGTTGAAGTTTGGGGAGGAAATATTATAGGCTATATATATATATATATATATATATATATATATTATTCAAATTAGTTATTGTCATGGTTGATGTTATTATTCTAATAATTTTTATTACTGTAAAACTTAAATTAATAGCCGAGTCCCAAATAGCCGCCTATCTCCTTTACTGGCCTGGTGTGGGAACACATTTTGACAAATAAACGCCTGCCTCAATTAAACGCCTGGTCTGTTTTTTATAGAAGTTCTTTGGATGTATAAAACATCTTAAACCCCGCGGGGTCGCCCGCTTTAGCTGCTTCTAAGATGCTTAGATTGTTAATACAAATATTAATGTTTAAACGTATGATCAGTATGTCAGTATGGGCATGCTGAACATCCTTAGATCCGTTTTCTCCACAATTCTCCACAATACCACTGTTAAGTTCATTTAGCGGAAAAAAACAAGACCCAAAGTCTAATACTTCTACATATACCGGTGTAACCTGCATGGCTACAAGGGAGGAAAAGGGGGTGACTCATGTTAACTTTGAAGCGCTTGTTAAGTCCGAATGTGTCCGTTCCTTGATTATTTATATTCCTTTAGTCTGTAAGGGTCCACCGATCAAAATAATCAAAACAGCTTTTCATAAAAATTAATCCAAGTTGTGAATCCTATCATGAGAAGTCCATCGCTCTCTGTCTGCTACCTTTTGTCATCCTGCACCATGTGGTTATTTTCGATAGGTTGCTGCCTTCAAAATAAAAGCGCATAAGCCGTCTGTTGGAGCTAGATCAAATGAATGATGTGTATTTGATATTATTTGATAATTTTTACATAAATATTATTCTGTTTGATAGTAGTTTCAGTTTTGCGCAAAAAGAATTAAAGGCCTGTCCCAAGGCAGGGTCAAGTAAGTGATTTTAGCAAATCACTTAACAATCACGGGCTATTATTCGAAGTTTTACGGTGTAGAGTAAGGCTGGGGCGATTCGTCAAGGTAATCGTCGTAATCGATTTTGTCCTTTGCTAATCACATGTCTGATGAATTTAATTGTCCTTGAACACACCAAGAACAGAAGGGTTTGTTGTGTTTTCTTTGCAGACAGAAGTCAGAATAGGGTCGACATTCCCTGACATTCAAGCTGTGTTTGATGGTTTGTTAACTTTATCAGTTCACTGGTAACTGATAAACCTGGTAACTGTAATCACTGAAACTCATTACATAGATTTAGACCACCTCCTATGATTGGTTAAAGCCTACAATATTCAAGCTAAGCTAACCACAGAATTTTAAAGTAAAAGCACTGTTTTCTGTAAAGTATTTGACTATAAACACGGAAATGGACTTATTAGCTGAAAAACACTGTGGGGCCACAGCACGAAGCCTTAACTAGTCAAAGTTAAAATTTTATAGCAATACCACAGTTTTCCAAGAGTGTCTGAAGAGTTTTTGTTTTTCAAAAGCATCACTCCATATTAGAACATAACAGATGTTTTTTGGCCAGTAGATCATGATCTTCCTAGTTAAAGATAGATGTCGTTTTTTTCAGAAACGTATTGGCTACACAAAGTGCCAGTCATCTGCACAATTGGTTGCAATTGTCTTGGCCTACCCACAAAATAATAGGGGCTGATACTTCCTTACAGCATGGGCTCTCGTTGGCTGTTGTAGGCTGTGGACAGGACATGTAGGCCTAGGCTCTTACTGGGTCGAATTAGGTGTTAGTCGAGATATTATATCAAGATATTGTAGTTATTTAGATCCAAACTGGGGTTATTACAGTTGAAAATATTATGCATGGTGCAAGGTTGAATCACAATTATTTTAGCTTTCCGACAGTGTATTGTATGAGTATGAACTTTATCATAGCAGTTGTGTGCACATACCAATTCCGAACATTTTAAGAGGTTCGTTAAAATGATTGGAACTGGGGTACAGTTCAGTCTCTGCTTAGGTTATGGAAGCTTTGGGGGATAATTGTTTTTAATTCATTTTTCTACAATACACCCAGCACTTTATTTTATGCCCCGAATACAACAGAAACTACACAGTAAAAGATGTCAGTTAAATATGTCAGGCATGGGGTGATTTTTGACCGTTGTTTTGTCATTTTTTCTCAACAAATTATACAATGTCTTTTCAAGCCCTTACACAGCCATGGTCCACCAACACAGGTGGTTGCACTTAATCTACTTCTTCTTAGTTTCTTCATCATTTTAATTGGTAGTGTATGTAGTTTGGTGACCTCACAAGATTGCCATATCTTGGCCACTAATAACCAAATTAGTGGCCTTGAACACAGAAGAAACACATGAAATGGTATTGCCAAATTTCTGGACACATTCCTACCATCACACGGTTTACAGTATACTGTCATCTGGCCGAACTCTGATTGCATCATATCCTTCCTAAGGTGTACTTTATAATATACCATTATTCCCCATTCCTGCTAATATTTTCTTCCACTACAGGCTTGCCTCTCCACTGCAGCAATGCAAACAATCATCCATCCATAGATGCACATGGACACTTTGTAGATGTTTTTGTTGCCGTATACAACGTCATCAGATGCTCTGATGTTATGTCTCTTCTTTGCTGTATATCTCTGTTCTCCATGCTTCTGTGTGGAGGTCACTGTGTCTTTGTCTCCCTGTTTCCTCTTGTCTGTCCATCTGTGCTTCTGCTCCTTCTCAAATGTTCATATCTGAGAAAGATCAAGTATGAAAGTATGATGATGCATCTTGTGCACATAAATGCCATACTTGACTTTCACCTGCTACATTCACTGCCTTTTGTTTCTGTGGTTTGGTTTGTAACTCCCCACCCTTCTCCTCCCACTTCCCTCAGGTTTTGGTGTGCTTTGGGTTGACTGGTCATTATGCTGATGCAGCTCTGTAGTATCAAGGTCAGTACTAATATTCATATCACATGGTGACACAAGCAAGCACATGAAAATTGTACTGTGCGTGCAGATAACCTGTCTTCATCAGCAACTGCACGCAGGAAGTGCTTCAGTATTTAGACCTATAGATCTATCAAGGCTGACAGAGTCGTGCCCTGAAGCTCCTTTCTAACTGGAGCATTCTCTGATCCGAGATCCCAGGATGGAAAATTCTCCCTCACATTTGGACTTGCTGATAATAATGTTGCATCTTGCTGTAATCGCAGCATCCTCGCTGACAGTGTTGGGAGTAGCACATTACAAAAGTAAGGCAATTACAGTAATGTATTGCTTTTTGCTGTAAATCAGTAATTATTATTATTATTACAAAAAAAAACGGTAATATTATACCTGTTACAATCTCAGTAACGCGTGTTAAAACGGATTTTAACCTGAAATTAAGTGGTTTTGTTTTTTTAATAATTTACCAACACTGAGAAACATTTTGGCACCAGAAAAACAAATCCATGAGTAAAGAGTAATGTTATTTCTTGTTGCTGGAATCCGATGGTTGAGATTGTAGGCAGGGTGCAAACTACAGTGAAGCTCCTCTTAACAAGACGGTAGCTCCCCTGATGGATCATGGGTAAATTTCTGTGTGTATCTCGTACGTAAATGCGAACAGCACCCCCTGCGCTATTAATCATAAGGTTATTTTTATAACAAAGACTTACCTGATCCACAAATGTAATGTATTACTATACATCACTAGAACCCACCTATGCAGCACATCTAACAATCAGAATACTGTGTCCATTAAATAGCAGTGAAAGTAACTCAAGTAACGCAACAGTAGTGTAAAGCATTACAATTCAGAGACAGTAATATTGAAATATAACTAATTACTCTCAAATGACAGTAATTAGTAATGTATAATGTTTTACATTTTGGAAGTAACCAAAGGCTTAAAAGTTATGTTATTCTGTTAACATGTTTAATCAGTTATTAAATACATCCTCGATATAAAAAAAACTAAACTAAAATGTAATCAGTTAAAATTAGCCTATAAAAAATAAAAAGGTTAACAAAGTAATTTACTTTTAAAACAAAACATACTAACTGACTCAAACATGATGTGCTCTCTCTCCTGCTGACAGCTATTCAATAAAATAATTTACACAGAGCAGCGGAGACAAGTCGCCTCTATCCTGATTAACAGGTTGCCATGGTAGCGACATGTCAATCACAAGGTAGTCCCGCCCTAAAGCATACTCTGCTTTCTGGTCTATTTTCCACCTAAATAGGACCAACATTTACTAAATTACATCATGCTGTGTTGAAGAAGATTTGAAACTAGCGACTGAGACCATAAACTCATTATGAAAGTGTTTACTGAGGTAAAAATTCAGCTGAGAAATAGGGTCATTTTGCCATTAATGCAGCCGGACTTCTTTTTGCAACCAGCGGAATTGCCCCATGCTGGCCGTTAGAGAGAATGCAGGTTTAAGTTCCGTCTGCAAGGTTTCACTTTCAGACCCAGAGGTTGCCGCTTGATTGAGATTAGAGAAATAACATTTGACAACCACTCGTCACATCAGTACATCTCTGGATTGGACAACAGTGCGCACCAAGAGCTGCAAAACAACTGCAGGATGTTGAGTTTCTAATTTATTTTTTTTAATACTAATGTGTACGGTGAAAACTGAACTGAACTTCTAAAAATACCTATGAGCGTAGTGCTGATTCAACGTCATGGTGATTTGTAAGGACAAACTTTGCTGTGTTGTTATGTTGAATTGTATTATGCTTCTATATTTGTATATTTTGTCCAACCAAAGCTAGATAAAGAAAACAGTTTTGTATTACATGATATTATGGGGTGCTTCACTTCTGGTCTCCTACTTTAAATGTCTTGCTGTTATTTGTTTATCTGTTATAACAAAACTGGGTGGGTTCACAATTGACCCTACACTAAGTTCTGTCCTGCAACACCAGTCAAGCTTTCCACTCTAACACCGCAAATATGCATATATTATATGATAATAATAATATATTACACTATAATAATATAATAATTGTATATATGTGAAAAAGGGTCTCTTATGATGCTGCTTATGATGGATATGATGCTAATGCTAAAAGGCTAAAGGTACATGGTCCAAATGTTGGGAGAGCTTTATAGACCTGCCCCACCAACTGTAGGTACTGGTGTTAAACTATGATTTTATCATCACTGATGGTTTGTGTTCAATTTCAGTCATCTGTGAAAACTCCTCTGATAACAATGGCAGTTATAATACAAATGCAGTATATACAGTATATGTTTCAAAAATAGTGTTTAGTACATTGAAAATCTTCAGGATTATAATTTTAAGGATGTGTATCAAAATGTGTGGTATTTTGTTAAATACATCCAGAGATGCTAAATTAATCCAAAACAGCCATTGCAGAAATGCTTGTTGTCATTTTTTTCTGGACATGTCCTTAGTCAACAACCATGAGCCAGGACTGACTGACAGTGCCTCACTTACAGATCTTACAGTGAGGCATGTGACGTCTTTGAAACAGTACTTCTGAGACTAGCCATTCAAATGCCTTAAAAATACATATTTTTTAAACTCTATTCAGTGTTGTGAGCCACAGAATTAGGTTGGATTTACTGTGGGTTTCAGCTTCATGGAACTCATATTTTCTTTCTAGTGCAGCAACAGAAAAGTTTCTAAAACATCAGCAGTAAATGTAAGAGACAAAAAACAGACTTTCTAGGTCCAACAATGGTTGAAATAGGGAGAAACTGAAGAGGCTGGAACGATTAACAGATGTCAACTTAAAAGTTTTCAGTGGACATGTTTTATTAAACTTAATAAATTATGTAACAACACTGCAGCAAATGACACATAATAAGCTCCGTGGGTTGTCCCTGTTACCAGCATGTCAGCTACTGATATGAAGTACATGACAGACCACTCTCCCTCAGCAGAGAATAAGGAAATGGGCCACCTACAACCTTATTATCTCTTATATATGTGCTTTATTAAAGTCCATGTCTATAGAATAACAAGCAAACATGACTTTTTATTGATTATGCCAATTTTGTTCCTAAAGGCAGCAGGATGTGTTCATTCAGCAGGACTGCATGAGGATTAGTTCACATACTTAAAATTAGATCCCAACCTATAAATCGGCATGTCGATATTATCGACCGATATAAGCTAATTGCAGATAAAGCAGTAGCTGTGTTTATAACAGCCGATAAATGACAAGTGAAAAAGAAACACAGAGACAGAAGACTAATCAGTCATGCTATGAGTGTTGTCATTGCGTAATTTGCCCAGCAGAGGGCGCTCTGCAACTCCCCATTTGGCAACAGGAAAGCCACAAATCCACCACAGACTTTTGAAACGGCATTTTGTCTTGTTATCTTGGTGAGGTCTCATAACTACACATAACAAATGTTAGGGATAATCTTTGTTTATGTTATGTCCTCTGTTATGTTTTGTGTCATATAATATATATCTGGAACCATTAGTTGATCGTTAGAAAAACAACTATTTTATTTTGATAATCGATGCCAAACATTCTCTTGTTCTAGCCTCTTAAAGGATTTGTTGTTTTTTACTTGAAAATCTGTTTTGAAGGGCATTACGGAATTTGAGAATGAAAATGTGATCAACTGTAAAACAGAATATTGTGGAATCTGCCAAACTGTGGACGCATTTGATGTAAATCTGACAGCGGTGTTTTAGTGTCATTTACGCCGCTGCCTCTCTCCTCTGCTCTGTGTTACTGGTGTTTCACTAAGGGCGGGGCTCAACGCCTCCTGCGCACACACACACACACACACACACACACACACACACACAAACACCGTCATATCGAAGTCAGGGTGCTAGCAAAAGCTAATTTCTTCAACAAACTCTCAAAAGTGCAAACACATTGGCAGATGCAAGACGCAAGCTAGTCTTAGTGTGTAGTCTTTGTGGTGGTGTGGGCAGAGTCAGATATCCCTTTGAGAAAATGAGAAAGCTACGTCCGGTCAGGCTTTGTAAAGAAGGAGGAGCGTTGCTCTCATGAGAGCAGCCTCAGACAGACCTACTTATAACGTGTGTTCAGCAACATATGGAGGCTGTCCTGCAGAAGATCTGTGGGAAGAAATGATAAGTGATCAGCTATGCTAATAACTTATTTTATAGAGGACAATTCAAGTACTGTACATGTGCTGCAAGAATGCATTCATTGTGAATTGTCCCCTATTAAAGAATATTATGGTATATTAATATCCTACTGTTGCAGTACATTTATTGTGTATTGTCCCCATAAATAATTGCACATACATTTGAATTGCAGCTTGTGCTGCCTTGGGCCCCTCCCCCGTCCCAAAGCATTCAGAGGCGGCCCAGTCCTCACGCAGCAGTCCCTCTCATCTGTATTCAGAACAGGAGATGTTCATCCCTCGTTTCGAGACTGCAAAATGAATCGTGCTTGATTGAACTTTTGCCGGACCCCAAGCCCGGGTAGAGGAGAAGGGTTAACATCAGGGGAGTTTCCAGGCTCTTGAAACACTGGGGGCTTAGCCCAGCCCAAAAAACTTTCCCCCATTTAATTATTAAATATCATAGGCCATAAATCCATCCATCCATCCATCATTAAGCGCCCCCCGCAGGGTCGTGGGGGGCTGAAGCCAATCCCAGCTGACATTGGCCAAAAGGCAGAGTGCACCCTGGACAGATCGCCAGTCATATAAATACATTTATTGTGATCTTTATAATTACTACTGATAATAATTAACACTGCTAATAAAATTTGGGCTTTAAACACTTCATTTCTTGCATTCTGGTGATTTTTTCTGCACCAAATTATTAAGGAAATGTCTTTATTTATATAAAAGGAAACACATGGTTCAGGTGACAATTCAAATTCAAAATAAAAATTAAAAAATAGTGTATTTTAATGCAGTAAAGCTCTCAGGTATTCTGTAAGTGTGGCACCTTTTGACCTCAATGATAAATTAGATTAATTAATTTGAATTCAGTTAGAAACTCCTGGACTTTAACAGCTCTTGTGTTTCAGCAGTTTTCTGCTCATGCTCAAAACTTTCTGCATATTAACAATCTCTCCCACATATCTGCGTTCTCTTACATTTGCAGAATAATATTTTGAGACAAAAGTCATAATATTATAAGAAATAAAATTGTTATCTGATGAGAATGAAGTCATAATATTTTAACACCTGCTCCTCTGCTGTGCCGAGGAATAACGGTGGGGGGGTCATGTTACATGAACTTCAAACAAAATGGAGCAATATTATTGTTAGTAGCCTCTGTTCTATGAAGACCTGCGAGAAAGGCTGTGTCATGAGGATTTTTGCATATTAATATGGAAAATATTTTTGTTGCTGTTGTTGAGCTACAGGCAAAACATGACCTGGCAACACCAATGGTTAACATCTTAACCCCTGGTCTATATTTATGTACTGTCTTTGTATTGGAGTTACAATAAAGAAATTAAAATAAAAAAAATAAGACAGGAAGAGAGTTGAAATTGTGACATTCAAAAAAACAGAATCAACAGAAGAAAGTTAATTTATAGTAAACATATTTAGGGTGTTTTTTACTCGTTCCCACGACATTATTCCTCCTACTTCCTACGTCCATCAAAATTACATGCACAAGGGCAATAATACAAGGTGATGACATCATTTAGCAACTTCTAGCACTTTTAGGATAGCCAATAGCTACTTTCCTTACTGAGGAGTTGGCAACACTGCCAAGTTTTGGTTGAACAACCTTGGACTCTGAGAAGCAGCAATATTTTTCAATTTAGTTTTTTTACATTAAGACAATTATACTGCACTACAGTCAGCAGTGTAGAGTGCAGGAGAAGACTCAACAGCCACACAAAGCAGCCCTTACAGCCCTCCGTAGTAACATATATTCACTTTTGTGAATATTTTGTGAATAATATCACCAGCTACCATCATCAGCTAACAGCATGCGTAGCACACCAGAATGTTGCTTTAGTATTTGTAAACTTTTATGGATATTACTCCAATAACCTGGGTTAACCTAGATGCTTTCTCTTCTTTTTCTTTGCGTTCAGAATAAAATCTTTGACGTCTTTATTTAGCTGAAAACTTCCTACTGTGTATTTTGTTGCAGAACTTGTACCAGAATCGGTTCCTGGGTCTGGCGGCCATGGCCTCCCCAACCCGCAGCAGCCAGACCCGCCAGCGCTGTAAGGACGCGGTTCGTCACAGCTACGGCCCAGACACCTATGCTGTCAACGGTCTGAACCAGGAGGCCTTCATGCTGGGGCTGTCGCGGTCCACCAGTGACACTGATCTGGTCTCCCCAGATGCTCGCTCCACCCTCACCATCAGCTCCTCCCACTACACCATAGGCCAGTCTGAAGACCTGGTGATCACATGGGATATCAAGGAGGAGGTAGATGCTGGAGACTGGATCGGCATGTATCTTGTTGGTAAGTGAGATATTTCATGATGATATTGAATGATTTAAATCTGTTTGGCTAGATAACATCAAAATAAATTAAGGTTTGGCTGAAATTACCATGTAACAGATTTATAAGGTGTGTCTTTACCTTGCAACTTCTTGTGTATCCTCTTTGTAGCCCTTTTTGTTTTGTGCCAGTTAACCTTAAATCCTTCACCCAACGAGCTGGTGTTAGTGCAAAAACCAAGGCATTATCCCTCACTGACTTCCCACCCTCCAACAGTCATTTGATTGTTGAGTGAATTAATCAGGCATCATGACCCCCCTCAAACTGAACTGAATTTTTTACTATATAGTCTACAAGGGCTGCACAATTAATGGAATATTGATTGCGATTACAATTTTAGCTTCCCACAATTAAATGAGCATGATCGACGGCGATATCGCCGTTTAAAATTAGCTCATGGAAAAGTCTGCTGCATATCAAATCAAACGCTTCCTAAACTTCCAGCCAAGGGGGCGATTTGGCTGCGTGTGCACCCTCCTGTTGCTACAGAGTAGACAGTAAAGTCCAGGAGCACACATGTGTCCACTGCATACTGCATACTCCTGATATAAATAATAAATAAAAATCATAGTTAAAACATACAAAAAAGAACCATTTATATACATAGCCATAGGTGCCATTTACACTGGGGATGCTGGGGACATGTACCCAGCATATTTTGAAATGGCTGATTTTGTCCCCATCACTTTTTTTTCATCAAGCATTTGTTAAACATGGTCTGAAAAATAGCTTGCACGAAGACATATTAACTAATACATTAAAATACCTTGAGAAAGGTGTATTTGCACAATAGGAAAACATGCAAAGCCATTTAAATATAGAAGAAACAAATGTGCATTGTCCAAAAAAGTAACAGGCTGCTGATTACTGCGTTATATTTTTCTATTAATGAATTGTCACCTGGCAGCTGAATTTTTTGTTTTTATTTCCACCCTAAATTGGAGCAGAAGATTTCACTTTCATATATTTTAGCATTTCATATTTCTACAAAATAGTGTAAAAAACCTTCTCATATTGTTTTTGAGCATTGTCAGGTCTTTTGACACAAGTGTATCATTGTGCCCCTAATCTGAGCCCTTATATCCCCACCACTTTTCAACACAAAGTGACGTCCCGTACGTAGCCTACTTAATCTTAGAAAAAGCACAAAAAGCAAGCAGTGATTACAAAATCAACAAAATCTAAACAAGTCATGCCATAAAGATACTTTATATTTTGCTTCTAGGAGATGCTGCACTTTATGGACCAGTCTTGTTTTTATGCAAAGATTTGTAAATTAGCGAAAAGGCAGCACATCATGGATGTGAAAACAGTTGCCTGTTTATCTAAATTTGAAAGCGCAATAAAAATATGTTGCCCCTAAAATCAATGAATAATCGTGATAAATGATCATGATCTGAATATAGATCAAAATAATCATGATTATCATTTTGGCCATAATCGTGCAACCCTATAGTCTACAACAGAAATATGATGACAATATAATTGTAACAGTATAATTCCAGTGGGTGTGTTCAGTCTGTGTGATACTGTAGACGGTAGATTCATTGGTTGTTATTGTCACGAGTTAGGCTGAGGGCAGACTGAGGTGTGGACCCAAATGCAGACAATACGAGAGGTGGTGCAGTTCAGAAAATATTTATTAACTCAAAACTTAACTTAAACAGGCTTCCACGGGAGCTCGAGGCAAGAGTCCAAACAAAGGTAATTCCAACAGAAACATAATCCACAGTCAATATCCAAAAACAAGGAACAAAGTACTATCCAAAGGTAACAGAGCACGGGAGAACACTCAACCAAGACTCAAGAATGTGACCAAGACACAAGCAGGCATATATACACAGGGACTAACGAGCGGGTCGGGAGCAACACAGGTGAGGGGGAATCAGAACTAATGAGACACAGGCAGGCAGAGAGAAAGCAGGGGAAAACAGACAGACACCAATAAGGCAATAGGGAAACTAATAATAACCAGGAAGAAACAGAATAATATAAATAACTGATCCAGAACATAAGCAGACAGATCACACATATACAAATAAACTACAACTAACAGGGAAGACAGACTGAACTAAGATTGTGATGAACAAAAGACTAGATTAAGCTACAAAACCCCAAACATGATAACATCAAATAAAGCTTACAGAACACAGAACACAAAACCAAACCTATGAAAACAGACTAAACAGGAAAAACATGAACACAACCTATACAGATAGGAATGGGCATTTTAGGCAAAAATACTATTTGATAGTCATTGGGAATTATTCGACCATTCTTTGAAGCTCCGTAGTTAATCAGTATCAGAATCAGCTTTATTGCCAGGTATGTGGACACATACAGGGAATTTGACTCAGGATTGTACATTGCTCATGAAGTGCTTACTCATACAAAACTACCATAGTAGTAGTACAATAATAAAACAATAATAAAATAAAATCAGACACAAACTACAGTATAGACAACACTAATATACACACTATGAATAAACAATATAGACATATTGACAAATAGTGCAGTGATCAGAGTGCAAAGGATGCAAGAGTAAACTATTATTCTCATTATGTACATGTTGAAGGTGGATATGATATACAGGTACACATGTACACAGTGTGATGGAGCATAGTGCAAAGGATGCTGGAAAAAATAAATAAGACCTATGACCTTATGACCTGAGGTAGGTGTATTGGTATACAGTATATACAATATGACATAGTATGCACAGCACTGAAATAGAGAATTGTGAATAAATATATATAAATATTGCACAGGAATTGTACCTGACACTGTGAGTCAGAAATCAGCGGTTCATCGGAGTGGCTTGTGGGAAGAAACTGCTTCTGTGTCCGTACAGTGCTCTGTAGCGCCTACCAGAGGGGAGGAGCTGGAACAGGTTGTGTCCGGGGTGAGATGGATCTGCAGTGATGTTTCCTGCCCGTTTCCTGACTCTGGAAATGTATAAGTCCTGAATGGAGGGCAGGTTGGCACCGATAATTTTTTCTGCAGTCCTGACTGTCCGTTGTAGTCTGCTCCTGTGGAACCCAGAAACCTGAAGGATTCCACAGCAGACACAGGGCTGTTGAGTATGGTGATGGGGGGTAGAGTTGGGGGGCTCCTCCTGAAGTCCACGGTCATCTCCACAGTTTTTACCGTGTTAAGCTCCAGGTTGTTCTGACCGCACCAGAGAGCCAGCTGATCAACCTCCCATCTGTAGGCCGACTTGTCACCGTCCCGGATGAGGCCAGTGACTGTTGTGCCGTCAGCGAACTTCAAGAGTTTGACAGATGGGTCTCTGATGTGCAGTCGTTGGTGTAGAGGGAGAAGAGCAGTGGGGAGAGCACACACCCCTGAGGGGCACCAGTGCTGATAGTCCGGGAGCTGGATGTGATGTTACCCAGCCTCACCTGCTGATCCCTGTCAGTCAGGAAGTTTGTGATCCACTGACAGGTGGAGGCTGGCACAGTGAGCTGGGTGAGTTTGGTGCTGAGGATGTCCAGGATGATGGTGTTGAACGCCGAGCTGAAGTCCACGAACAGGATACTCGCATATGTTCCTGGAGAGTCGAGGTGTTGCAGGATGTAATGCAGACCCAAGCTGACAGCATCATCCACAGACCTGTTCGCCCTGTAGGCAAACTGCATGCGGTCCAGCAAGGGGCCTGTGATGTCCTTCAGGTGGGCCAACACCAGTCTTTCAAAGGACTTCATGACTACAGATGTCAGGGCGACGGGCCTGTAGTCATTTAATCCAGAGATGGAGGTTTTTTTGGGACCGGGATGACTGCGGAGCGTTTGAAGCAGGAGGGAACTTCACAGCTCCAGTGATTTGTTGAAGATCTGAGTGAAGATGGGGGCCAGGTGGTCCGCACAGATTTTCAGGCACGATGGTGAGACAGGTCCAGGAGCCTTCCTGATCTTCTGCCTTTGGAAGAGGTGGCTCACATCCTCTTCACAGATCTTGGGTGCAGGTGAGAGGTCAGAGGGGGAAGGTGTTTGAAGATGGAGTTGGAGTGGGGGAGAGGTGTGACTCTGGGCTTTTCAAACCTACATTAGAAACCATTCAGCTTGTCTGCCAGTTGTTGAGTACCAGCAGTGTTGGGGGATGGTCTCTTGTAGTTTGTGAGTGTCCGCAAGCCACTCCACACTGACGCAGGGTCGTTGGCTACAAAGCTGTTATTTAGCTTTTCAGCATAGCACCTCTTTGCAGCTTTGATCTCTTTAGTCAGTGTGTTCCTGGCCTGGTTGTACAAGACTCTGTCCCCACTTCTGAAGGCCTCCTCTTTGGTCTGTCGAAGCTGCCTGAGTTTTACTGTGAACCAGGGTTTTTGGTTATTGTATGTGCGGAAGGTTTTAGTCGGAACACACACGTCCTCACAAAAACTGATGTAAGATGTCACAGTGTCAGTTAGTTTGTCCAGATCAGTGGCTGCAGCCTCAAAAACACTCAGTGTCAGTGCAGTCAAAGCAGGCCTGTAACTAAAGCTTTGACTCGTTGGTCCATCTTTTCACAGTCTTTACAACAGGTTTAGCAGATTTCAGTTTTTGCCTGTGTGTTGGGATAAGATGAACCAGACAGTGATCAGAGAGTCCCAAGGCTGCACGGGGAACAGAGCGATAGGCGTCCTTTAATGGTGTGTAGCAGTGGTCCAGTGTGTTAGTGTCCCTGGTGGGACACTTAATATGCTGTCTGTACTTTGGAAGTTTATGACTGAGGTTTGCTCTGTTGAAGTCCCCAAGAACAATGAGCAGGGAGTCTGGGTGTTTTTCTCCACGTTAGTTATCTGGTCGGCCAGGTGTAGTAACGCCTCACTAACACAGGCCTTAGGTGGAATGTAAACAGCGACCAGAACAAACGAGGAAAACTCCTGCGGTGAATAAAATGGTTTACAGTTTATAAATAATGTCTCTAAGTGAGGCCTGCATGATTTCTTCAACACTGTGACATCTGTGCACTTCGTTTATGTAGAAACAGAGTCCGCCTCCCTGTGTTTTTTCCTGTGAGCTCCCGTGAGCTCCCTTTCGCGATCCGCACAGATGACATTAAATCCCAGTTGATAAAGTGCGCTGTCCGGGATGTAATCCCAAGGCGGCCGTCTGCGGCGCCATCATGTTTCCATTAACTAGCTGGCCTCTCCACTGTTGAAGGATGGTTGTGAGACATGGTGGAGTTGACGCTGTAAACAGGAACTTTATGTCCTCGGCAGGAGTGAACACAATACACAACTTTAACATAAGGCCTTTTCAGACGGGGAGTGACGCTCAGCCTGCGGATCCATGTGAACAGACAGGCAGTACTCTGCGAGTAAATGCCAGCCACTCTGTGGGTAGTAACCATGTCAAAAACTTCTGTGCACTACTGAATCTCTGCTGATACAACTATATTTTCTATGTAGAAAACATTAAAAGCTGCTCATTGCTCCTCCTATCAGATTGCCCACGCATCCCTTCCTACCCACTCGCCTCTAATTGAAAATAAATTACTGGGCGCGTCAGGCTGCATCTGAGCATCCTGACCATCTCACAGCGCCGTAGCCGAACTACCAACGCCCGGTAGTGATGTGTTACTATCAGGCACCGGTAAAAACAAAGGAAGAAAAATTTTCACAAGATGATAGTCGCAACTTTTAGATTTTTTTTATCATTTCACAACTATTGGAAAATTCAAAAATCCTGCCCCATCTCTAATAGAGGAACAAATTATCTTCTGTTCTGGGTTGCAGCATTCCTGTCTCCCCATCTGTATGTCTTTCAAGGGGAACTCCCTTCAATTTGACCGCCACTCACCACTGAACAGCCTACTTGGAACAATCACTAAGAAAACCATTCTTCTGAATTGGAAAAGGGGTTAGGGTTAGATATTAAGTGGTATCGATTTGCTTTAAGTGTAGCATTGTAGCATTTTTCGACACCAGCATGCCCTATTTGTTGACACCTCTACATCCACGCACAAGATATTATTGAGTGTAATTATAAACAACCATGCAGCTAAATTGCACACTTTGGTATGTGTTGCAGTTTTGTGTTGGTGTTTCTGTTATATAAGATTTTTATTTTTACTACAAATGTGTATCTGTGTCAAACATCAGTCATCGGTCTCCTTGATTGCTAATAATTGGTGTCAGCATTGGCCCTGAAAAAAACTATATTGGTTAACCCCTGTTCAAGAGGGGAGTTTTTTAAAGGATTCTGGAGGTTTAGCGTTGCAGTGTGATTTCATCAGTTTAATCTCTTTTCCCAGATGAGGCTTTGTCTGAGAACTTTCTGGACTACAAGAACCGAGGCATCAATGGATCTCACAAGGGACAGATCGTTTGGAAAATTGATTCCAGCTCCCACTTCAGTGACTGTGAGTAACAAAAACTCACTTTTTTTGAGCGAATAAAAAAGCTGTTATCTGTTTTATAAAGAATGTTTTGCCCGGTTCTACCAGTCAGATGCAGTCTGTCAACGTTTTTATTCATGAGCTATTCAAATAAAACCATCTGTGCGTTATTTTTATAAATGACAGTGGTATCCTCTTCAGAAATATGGAGACATTCAGTGACTCTGCTTAAAGGTGCTGCAAATGTTGTAGTGATGAAATAAAACATCACTCTTCTCTGTGTAGACACTGGCACAGTGCAGACCAAGAAGTAAGTTTCAGCTGGACCTCATATGGTATGTTATAAATAATGACAAACAGCTGGAAATTTCCCGCAATAGTGTGTTAACAGGGGTACCAAGTGAACAGGGCCAGCTTTAGCCTGCTAGGGTTAGGGTGGGCTGGTGGAATCCTAGGTGGACAACTTGACGTAAGTGGCCCAGAGGTTAGAGAAGTAGACTAGTAGTCCGAAGTTTCGATACCTTGGCCGGATGGCACAAAAATCTGGCGAACAACAGCTGGCAATTGGAGGGTTGTCAGGGTTAAGATCAGATGCAAGCTGCCATGCCTCAGGCCTCTCCACACACAACTGTCTGTGTGTTTGTGTATGGTGTATGGTTTGGTGGGCATCTCAGTATCAAGGTATTACAGTGTACCAGGGTATTTAGAAATCCCGAAGGTATGATTTTAAATACCATCAATAACACAGACGCTCCTCTTTCTGGTAGATCGATCATATTGGCTCTTAGATTGGATCAGTTCGGATTTGAGTGGGTAAGTTTCTCTGTACTTTGTCTTCTAACATTAGTGCCGCTTCACATTGCTGCTTTTAAATAATCCCCGAAAATAAACATTTTAGAGTCTGCCAGTCTTGATTAAAAGTTCTCTGTACACTACTGTAATCTACTCTTCCCTTTTTAGAGCACGCCAGTGAAATTACTTCTCTGACGCGCTTATTTCTCCGACTGTCTCTCATCTTGTCTCCCTGTGTATATCTGACTCACTGAGTGGAGTCGCAATGCTGCTGGTTAAAAAAGAAACACTTCAGCATCCTACTGTCACTTCTATCGCCAGCAGCTCAGCTTCTACTTTTTTTTATCCAAATACCCTCATATACTGTATAATGTATAATGCCAGGAAGGTTTGAAAAAATAGATGATGCCCAAGCCTTTCATCAATGAATATTCTCCTGATTTTACTTTCTTGCGTGGTCTCCTCTTCTTCACCCTGACACACAGTAAAACCAACTCTGAATCTGCCGGTGGCATCTTTTAATAGTACTTGTGCTACCTCTGATATTAGTAATGTCAATTTTCCTTTCCTAACTTACCACAGGCCCTAAACCCCTGCAATACAGATATGATTAAAAAAACCTTGTTACACCTGAATCACAACAAATATGACCCTGCCTCACTGGCTCAGAACTATACATTTTAGAAGTCTTCGTTATATAACACCCGCTGCCTCTGTTCATCCAAGTTTTGTCAGATTTGGATTACTGAATGTGAGGTCCCTTGGTCGTTATCCAACAAGTCTAACAAACGTAATGTGTTTCTCATTTCTTAAACACGGATAAACCAGAGTGACTCTATCCCATGATTTTTAATTCTCTAACCAGGTGGTTAAGAAGAGTTGCTCTCTGGTCTCTGTTGTCCAGTTTACATCCTTTGAATCCTTATGCTTCAAAATTAATGATTTACAGACCTCCAGAACATTTGAATGCCTTCATCAATTTATTCTCTGAACTATTAACTCGTATTCGTTCCCCAAATCATGACAGGATTTTAATACTTGGTGACTTTAACATCTGTTGTCTCTCTGTCTTACTTCTCTTTGACTCTTTCATCTTTTTCAGTCAATAACCAGTTCAAAACTTGTCAAAAATAATACGCTGGATTTAGTTTTATCCTCAGGTTGTATATTTCAGGACTTGTGTCTTGTGATATTGATTTTTCCTCACTTATGTTGCTGTAAAACACTTTGTCACAAACCTGGTTTCTTTTGAATGTGCTCTGTAAATAAATCTGACCCTTACCTAGTGCTCGGATGGGTTTTATGCAGAAGATTATTTTTTTATTTAAAGTAGAATTCTATTCAAGCAGTTTGAAGCAAGGAAATTGGGAGGTAGTGAAGCAGCATTTCAGAGTTTACTGCTACCCAATGATTTGCATCAGTGGGGGTAAGATTGATCTTCCCTAAAATATAAAAAATCCTTCAGCTAGACATAATCAACTCCATAAGATTTATTTTCAATGGATGAGCTCTGATAGCAAATAAAATTAAAACCTAATCCAGTTTGACTTCTCGTTGTAGCCAATATTTATAATGTGATATATATATTTATATATGTCATATTCACAAAGCTAGGAGGTAGTCTTATTCATACTCAAACTGGTAGACTTTTAAAGCGTGCTGTAGGCTACCCGCACAATCAGAAGTTAGAAACGCTAATAGTGTTTTCTGTGATATTTTTCCATTGGCTGAAAAAAAATTATACAGGGGATAATTTCCTTTACACATGGTTTCCTCCCCTCCCATGTGTTGAAGCAGGGACAGATTTGGGAAATTCTGCCTTAACAGATGCCATGATTAGCACATGGATTGTGTCATGTAACATTCGTTATAGCTGCAATAATCAATATTTTTATACTGACATTGACTTGGTGTTAAATGAATGTCGCTCTGCAGTTCCTCCCAGCTCTACAGAGCTTTCTATCATCTTTCTGCTCATTGTTTTGGTTCAGTATTACAGCTCGCACCAATCTCCTTTCCAGCAGCAGGTGCCTATTTGAAAAACTCTGATTAACCATGGAACCCTACCTGCCCAGCACTGAACAGCAGAGGAAGTTAGCAGCTAGCTGGTGAACATAATGGAGCATTTAGCAGCTAAAGAGCCAGATATTTTTCTCAGGAGTTCATGAAGACCAAAGGAGTTAAAAGGAGAGTGAATGGTGACTTACATTTGTCAGGTGGCCAGAAACACCAACAGCTCCAATAAATACTAAATAAGTGGTCAAAATTACAGTACATTCACTACTTCACTGTGGTGTTTTTATATTCTGTCTCAAAGAACAAAGTGGATTGAGCCTGTAAGCCTACATAAAAAGGGAGGGAGACAGTCACAAATGGTGCACAATCACAGTATTTAGGGACATGGGGAATTGTGTGAGTGAGAGAGACTATGTGGATGCACACATGAAACTGAATACATTTATCATTGTGAAGCCGTGCAGTTGTTTCCATTTAGTAACCCCAGCCTCGTATCCCAGGTGGAGGTGGCTTTTTCAGAAGCTTTAGGCTTTATAGGACTGAAGCTGTTAACACTGTTAGTATGGGAATGCCTCTGAAAACTAACGCAAATAATACAGCTGCTTTCACTGTTATCACTACACTACTGCCAATATCATAGTAACTCACTGATGCAGTACTGCTTCCACTAATACAAACACATCTTCTTGTTTTTGTTAATCAAATGTGATTGATCAAATTAATTCAGGTTAACTGCAGGTTCAGACAGGAGGTGAAGCACTAGCATGGCTGTTCACACAAGAAGTGCATTTCTCTGCTCCTGTGCTCATTTCCAGTCACACATACAGTTGATCTTTATCATGTATCATGTGTCTTCCTTGTCATCATTATCGTATGTCTCCTTGTTCTAGCTGCATAAGTCTTGCATGCATGAGCATGAACACAAGCTAAGAAACAAAGAAAGCATGTGAAGTGGGAGCTTTAAAGTTGCACTGCACCGTGTGTGGTTGTGTCAAATCAAAGTATATGTATGTGCTCTGTGTAGGATAACGGTGCCAGGTTAGAAAAGAGGATGGCTAGTTTGCATGCACCCCCTGTGTCAGTGAAGCATCACTAACATCACCTTAGCATGTGAGTACCAAATAACCTAACAATGAAAACACATCACAACAATAAACCTCAGAAAAACCCATCAGTGTGTACACTGACAAAAGGTCAACAGTCCTGTGCTACGCCATGTACGCTGTTACTCTATGCTATGCCCAGTTAAGTTACGTTAGGTTAAGTTACCAGACCATAGAAGAAGAGAAATTGCTTGGTGTGCTACTGGCTATTCTGTTTTGGCCGAAGGATTTGGAGTTTTACATAGAAGAGGTTAGCGATATATTCACTCTCTTAAGAGAAACAGCTTGTTCTATCTCACACAGGCTCCGCCCTCTACTGGACTCTATGGGTACTACCTCTCCCCCTATCACACGCACGTACTCGCCCACTGAAATTTTGAATACTGTAAGTAGCCGACCAATTGGACGTCGCTACTGTACGTGCGTACCGTATAAATAATGGTGTCCTCACTGCTCAGCATCTTTTTTTCTTCAGACAGACGGCGAACCGCCCACTGACTTTCACCTCCACGGATGGAGTCGCCGCTCCTTGAAGCTCGCCTTTGCCCGTCGTGCCCCGGTCTGATCGCCGGGGTAGACACTCATCGATCCTGCTTTGAATGCCTCGGCAGGGACCACGCCAGAGATGGCATGCCAACCGCCGCCGTGTGTTGACTGCCGAGCCATTCCTCTCATCCGGCGTCAGCAGCGCTGGGAGCATTTCCGGCAGTGTGAGCTCTCCCTCATCTGTGAGGAGAGTGAGGAAGACGCCGGCCCGGATCCCCTCCCTGCCGAGAAGGATGCTCCGGCCCCCGATCTACCGCCTCATTCGGCTTCACGCTCCCTGCCGTCCCTGCCGCCGCCGCTGATCGACGATGATGCTGACAGCCTGTCATCTGCGTCAGCCACCTCTACCGCGGCCATCTCGGCCGTGTCTAAAGAGCAAATTAATTCCTCTTCAGTCCGTCACAACTTCCCCGCGGTTATGGCTATAGCGTCGGGGCGCGTCGGGCTAGCACTGCCCCCCCCCATCCCGCCTAAGCCGGTGAGTCGGCTCCGGGAGGGGTTCTACGGGCCGACTCGCCGTGCTCAGCCCGCCTTCGTCTCCCCGGCTCTCCCAGATATCTGTCAGTG